ATAAGGTTCCTTCAAATTGCATTTGATTTCTATTGAACAGAAAGAAAACAAATTGGGCAACAGAGTCTATTCCCGATAGCTTCATACTGTTTCCTGTTTAATGCTCATCCTGTGGATACTGATGGTGTTTTGGTTGCCAGCAATGGGTTGAACTTTTTTGTCAAATTGCAGCATATAACCTCCAAAAATGAACCATCCCACCCAATCACCCTTTCCTTTACCCTCCTCTTCATTTTATTTTGTAACCACAAACACAAGCATTAAAAGAAAATGAGAGAACAGCTTGTATTTTCAATGCCCTTTTGATTTTTTTTTTCCCCCGCCCATCTGTTGCTGGCAGTAGTGTCCTGGAATTTAAGTCCTGGAATTTCCTGGACAACCGAAGGTGGGGGACAGCATTGGATTTAGCATGAGGTTCCTCAGTCAATAGCTTGCCAACACTCACCACGTAGATTGAAGTGAAGAAGATCATTCTATGTGAGAGAGCAGCTGGTTTTTCTGAAATTGTACATCCAGACATGACAGCCAGAGTAGAAGAATTAAATCAATTTCCTCTGCAGTATGTAAAGATGGCTATGGTCTATGGCCAGCTTACATTAACACCAGCCCAATATAAATGAAGTAAAAAAGCAAAGAAACTAACATCTCATGAGGAAGTAAAAATGAAATTGCTACATTTGAAAACAAAACTAGTAGAAAGGGGCCAAGAATGCTGTCATCCCGAAGCTAATATTCTCATAGTTGTTGCAAAGTATAGAAGAACAATTCACATCGGGGCTGAACGTGAAAGGTTCAAAAGGGTTTACGCTCAAAATTCACACTTGCCAAGATTGCACTGGAAAGAGACTCTTTCTTAAAGTAATTATCCAGAAGGTACCAGTGATATCAACATATCACAAAGAGTCATTTAGATTCAAAACAAATGCTTGCTCTCTTTCGCCATGGATGTTGTCTGACCTGCTGTGATCTCCAGCATTTTTTGTTTTCAGTACCAATCATACTGCTTGCTACAAACTCTTACAGAGTAGCACAGAGGAAGTTTGGCACGGTGGCTCAATGGTTAGCACTGCTGCCTCACAGCGCCAGTAACCTGGGTTCAATTCCACCATCAGGTGACTGTCTGTGTGGAGTTTGCACATTCTCCCCATGTCTGCGTGGGTTTCCCCCCGCTGTGCAGGCTAGGTGGTTTGGCCATGCTAAATTGCCCCATAGTGTTCAGGGATGTGTAGCTTTAGGGGGATGGGTTAGGGTGGGATGCTCCAAGGGTTGGTGTGGACTTGTTGGGCTGAAGGGCCTGTTTCCACACGGTAGGGATTCTATGATGACTCTACTTTAATCAAGACTAGTGGGTTTATCTGAGGAATAGCTGAGACTATACAGACCCAGAGCCTTGGCCCCTTTCTATACTGGGTAGCTGATCTTAGCATTCATGAAAATGTTTGTTCTTGGGACCATTATATTTTTCTTAGTGCCCCCAAGTAAGGGAGGAAAAACTGGCTAAGGTGATTAGCATTCCAAAATTGCCCCCAGTGAAGTAACTGAGCAAGGGCCATCATCAGTTGGGAGGCCCCACAATTGGCCGACTCAGTGAAGGATTCCATTAAAATTACTACTTGAGAAGGTATTGGGGAGCCTCTGGAGTCTGTGGAACCATATCCCAGTGAGGTGACAATCCCTTCAGGAGGGACATGTGAAAAAATAGCTCAGTTTTGTTTTTGAACTAAACTAGGTGGTAAAACGATTTCACTGGTCCATCTTGGGAACTCATAAATTCCCCTGTATCACATTTTATACTCTGTGAAATGAGCATGGTTAAAGTGATTTATTTACTAGAAATTTACTACTGATTGGTGAAGTTTAATTTCAGCAGTGAAAGAGTTCTGCTCAATAGAGGATAAGGGGGTGTAGAGAGTAGGTTTTTGTGCTGTTCAAAGAGACAGGGAATTAAACATTCTCAGGTCTTTAAGGTTTCAGTGATCGTTCAGAAAGCCAGGTGCAACTTAGAACTTTCAGATGCTGCTAATGATATGCTTCAACTCCAAACGTCAAACTCGTCAAACACTGCATCAATACATTTTCCTGATCTTTCTGTACCTCTGAGACCACAAACACTGTCTCCAGGAAGCCATTTTGTGCTATGAATTAGGTCTATTAAGAATTAGATTAGGCTATCCTTTTATGTATATGTGGGACATGGGCATTGCTAGCATTTATTGCCTATCCCTCGTTGCCCTTGAGAAGGTTGTGGACTGCTGCAGCCCACATGCTGTGGGTTGACCAACAATGCTGGTAGGGAGGGAATTCCAGGATTTTGACCCAGTAACAGTGAAGGAATGGTGATGTATTTCCAAATCAGGATTGTAAGCAGCTTGAAGGGGAGGGGAGAGGTTTTCATTGAGGGTTTTGATACAGCGATTTCAGTGATACCCTCAAGGCGTCACTGGTGAAGTGCGGCATTCCCACAGATACCTGGGAATCACTAGCCCAGGACCGTCCAAAGTGGAGGAGGAGAATCCGGGAAGGCATTGAGTACCTCCAGACTTGGCCGTTTGGAAAAAATTGAAGCCAGGCGAAAACAGCGAAAGGAGCACGCTGCCCCACCCACCCCTTCTCATGACCACCGTCTGCCCCAGGTGTAACAGAGCCTGCGGTAGCTGCATCGGACTATACAGCCACCCACAGACTCATCTTGAGAACGGAAGAGAGTCATTCTTGTCTGCGAGGGACTGCCGATGATGACAGCAAAAATGCTAACTCTTTCCACTAGCAAGAATGTCACTAACCAGACAGAGATTTAA